CTTGAAATTAACTCCCAAAACAAAGATAGTTAACATATATGTATTTATTATCAATTTAGTTGGAAAAAAAAATGCGTTGGAAAAAAAAAGTCCTATAGAGAAAAAAAAATACTCACATAAAAATATAAATTTACAAAAAAAAAAAAAAATACAAACAAGCAAACTTGAAATAAGTTTTAACTATTGATAAAGAGAGAGAATAACCATTGTATCATTACATTTGGGGGGGAGTTGGCCGGGCTGGAAAAAAGATTAAATATTGAGTATTTTAAAGAGAAAATTGTATTGAATTGTTAATTTGATTAGGTTTTTAAAATTTTAGATTTATATTATTTTTGGAAAAAGTGAGAGTGGGATGAAGGTGACTTGAATTTTGAAATTCACAATCATAGATAATTAGCGTATTTTTTTTAATTTGAATTATTTTGATCAATATTATTTTTGGAAAGAGTAAGGTAACTTATTATATTGTTTTTGAAAATCCTACGTGATTTGTGATTAGATCAAGATTAACTTATTCCAAATCCCAATTAATTCAAAACACTCAACCTAAAATCATCAAACACTTACGAGAGTGATTTTAGTTTGTTTGTTTTTGAGAATAAACAATAAATCGACACAAACGATTTTTTACGTGGAAAAAACCACAATTGAAGAGCCTTAAATTGTAATCAAAAACCACGGGCGAACCGCCACTATCAATCCACTACTGAAGAACGAAAAGATTACAAAGATACCATACAAATTACCCAACCCAGTCAATTTGTCTCTGAATCTTCTGTAACTCTTTCACCACACCTTCGTCACGGAATTGATCCTGAAGTTGATTCCACACCACAACTTCACTTGTCGAATTAACGACTGCGTAGAATCAAACGCCTTTTGGATTCTACGCTTTAATCTTCGGAATCCACCGAAGAGAACTTACTTGAAACTTAAGAAGCAACCTCCTTGATGTATGAATCTCAATGCATAAGTTCAGAACTCTCTCAAGAACATCAAGGAAAACTATGAAAAATCTCCAAAGAAAATTGTAAACACAACCCTAGTGCTTGTAGATCAGATCTAGGAAAACTCCTTCAAAAAAAACACCCTTAACAGCTTTAAATAGGAATCTGGATCCGCGATCTCCGCTCGAGCTCAACACAGCCCGCTCGAGCGGACTGACCAAAAACTGCGTGCGAACAAACTGAGATGTGCTCAGCGTAGGAGAATCCGCTCGAGCGTAACATCACACCCACCAGTATTTTTTGCTTGCCCTGACAAAATACTGAGACCTGCTAATCTACGCTCGAGCTCACAAGGATCCGCTCGAGCGGACAGAACAAAAACACAAAAAATTACATTTGAATCAACACAATATTTTGTCTCCGGATTTGACAACATAGGGACCTAACAGTTTTGAATTTTAAAATTCAAAATTGTAGATAATTAGAAATTTTTTTGTTTTTAGATTTTTAACTTAAGGAACTAACCAATAGATTTTTTTTTTATTTCTTTAAAAATTAATAAATTAACAAAATTAATTTGGGTGATTGGAACTTCCACAATTATTATTCTTAAAAATACCATTTTTCTTATATATATAGATTACACTAACACCGTTGAAGTTTGTATTTAATATAAATTTTTTTTCACGTTTGAAAAATGATATACATTTTTTTAAAAATTTATAATCTCATTACAAATTATTTTTTGGATTGCTGATGTTATATGTTAAAAAAATTTAAATAATCATTTTGGTTTTTTTTAACCATTTCTTTTTTCTATTCTCATGATTACATTCTATAACTTTTTATCATTAAATTTTAGCTAAACTTATTCTTATTAAATGATGATATATAAACATAAATTTTATATAAATTTTTCAAACACAATGACATATCTTAATGGTGACTTTTCACTTCAAAATAAAATTTCCATAAACATGATTTTATATTTACAATATCACTATCATAACATTTTTATAATATTTTTTTGTATAAATTTTTATATATGAATATAATTTTTTATTTTTATTTCCACCATCATTTTTTTTTTCTTGTCTATTCATTCACATTTATTATAGTATTACGTAATACTATTATTCACATTTATTACAATATTACTGAATTTTTATATTTTTGTATATGATAAATGTAAAAGGGTAAATTACATTGACACCCCTGAGGTTTATGTTTATTACAGTTCCTCCTTCCTTTTTGGAAATTACATCCCCTTTCTTGAGATTTAAAGTTTCATTACAGATTGTTTCTTCCAACAATTTAATTTTTTTAAATACCAAATTTGCCCTCACTGGGTATATTACATTGACACCCTTCACATTTTAGAAATTACAATCCCCTCCCCAAGATTTAAAGTAACATTTCCAATTGCCCCCTCGGTTAGTATTAGTAGAAAAAAAAATTCATTAAAAAAAATTAATTGGAAAAAAAATTAATTGAAAAAAAATAATAATTGAAAACTAACGTAAACTCATTTTTTGAATTTACGTTTTTTTCTCAGATTTACAAACTGAGACAACCATTTATAAACCAAAAAAATTATCAAACAAATTTTTATGACAGTTTTTAAAATTTCTGTAAATATAAATTGAAAACTGAAAACGAAATAGGTACCAAACAGGCCTCAGATGGTAAAAATATCGTAAAATTAACAAATAATTAAATAAGTTACCAACGTAAGAAATGACTTATCAAAAGATTCTTAGGTTTTGTATGATTTGATTTTTAGATTTTTTTAAAAAAAATTAAAAATTAATTTGGTTAAGAAATAAGAAATAAAAAATAATTATCATTTTTATATAATTTTTATCTTTCGAATGTAATAAACATAAACCTCAAGGGGTGTCAGTGTAATTTTTATCTTACGTTGGTTTTTAAACAGAAATTTAAAAATTTGACTAACAAAATTTTTTTTCAATTAATTTTTTTTTCAAATAATTTTTTTTTCAACTAATACAAACCGAGGGAGCAATTGGTAATGCTACTTTAAACCTTTGGGAGGGGATTGTAATTTCTAAAATGTGAGGGGTGTCAATGTAGTTTACCCAGTGAGGGTAAAATTGGTATTTAAAAAAATTAAATTGCTAAAGGAGCAATCTGTAATAAAACTTTAAACCTCAGGGAGGGAGATGTAATTTTCAAAATGTGAGGGGAGAACTGTAGTAAACATAAACTCCAGGGGGTGTCAATGTAATTTACCCAATTTAAAAAAAAATCATAAAATATTATACTTCTTAAATATATCTAAATCAAGTGTATCTAAAAAATAAAAATAATAAAAATTGCTTAAAATATGTTTAAAAAATTCAGTAAAAATAAAAAATAAAAAATTTTAATTTTTTGTGTGAATTAAACCAAAAAAAGGTGATTATTAGTATTTCTTTTAAAATAACATGAATAAAATATTAATAATATTTTATTATTTAATATATATAAAGATTAAAAGATAAATATGTTATTTTAATCTAATAAAAAAATAAATATAATTTTTTAAATATAAAAAAATTATATTAAATAAAAATTTCAAGAGCTATCAATGTAAGGAAAAAGCTTCGGGCCCTGGTTTCTCCAAAATTGTCTCATTCTCTAGAGAAATTATATTTTAATTACAAATAATAATAAAAAAATTTCTAAACGTTCTTAAATATTTATAAATTTCTAGTAGATATGACAAATTTTTATTTATTTTTTTTTCCAATAAACTAGATATTCTAGTTATAATCTATATTTCTTTTAATACAAAAATAATTTATAAACTCATACTTAAATATTTTTTTCTAAAATTTTCTACTATAATTGTTTATTTATTTATTAATATTGTTAAAGTTACGCATTCTTTACATCCCAGATTGTTTTTATTAATTGTCATTTGTTTTTTTAACAGATTTAGCACTCCGTTAGCTTACACATTTATTTTCTTTGAGCAAATTGTATATACCTCCTTCGAGGTTTAACTAAATTACAGATACCCTTGAGATTTCATAAATTACATATACTTTCTTGAGATTTATATTTTCATAACAAATTGTCCTCTGAAATTTATATTTTTATAATAATTTATTCCATAATTTGTTATACAAATAGTACCTTCAAGAGGATATTTGTAATTTCTCAAATCTCAGGAGATATCTATAATTTTGTTAAACCTCGAGAGGTATATATAATTTGCCCTTTTTTTTGGGTCTGGAATTTGATTGGAGCGTGCACAAATTTTATTTTGATAACTCAAATTATTTAATGTGTAAAATTTGTTGAGTGTTAACTTCATAAAAAATTATATTGATCAGATCAAATTTCTATCAATAATAAATATAATTTTTAAAATAAATTATTAACAAAAATCTGATCCAATTAAATAACTATCATAATTCAATCAACATAAATTTTTATAAAAATAAAATATTTAACGAACTTTACACATTAAACAATTAAAATTATCAAAATAAAACCTTCAATAAATCTCACAAATCTAACAACACCATTTGTACTGGAAATAAACCTGACCCTTCCCCCAAAAATAAAAACAAGAAATCATATATTGCTTTTCCGAATAAGGGTCCGTTTGGGAAGAACTAAAGTAGGCTTTTTTACTATTTTAGCCACAAAAGACAAAATAAGCTATTTTAGCCACAAAAAACAAAACATCACATCCAACTCATAATCATTATACTATTCTCTCACAAAAAAAGTCAAAAAAACCAAAAAAATCTTCCCAAACCAAATTTTTAGCCCAGGCTAAAATGTCAAAAAAATCAAAAAATCAAAAAATCAACTCATTTTCCAAACGGAAGCTAAACCATTTTCAATGTGAGATGAGCTAATAAACAAAAACAATAATGAAAAATGGCAAATGCCTGTAACAATAATAAATTTTCTCTTCAAAATTCTGTTATTCAGTTCCTTTTGAGAAGTGAGTTATAATTTACTTCTAAGATTATAACTCACTTTTTCTCTCACAAAAAAATTACTTATTAAAAACTAATTATAATCACCTTCCCAAAATACTCCTCAATATAACTCATACATGAAAATAACATAGGATAGAACCATTATCCTGACATTAATCATAATCTTCCAGGGACAAATCACATTGAGTAGTAAATTCTTCTCACTGGATACATCATCAACATTCCCAAAAACAACCTAAAAGGTATGCCCAAAAAACAGAACAACAAACATAAAAATGCAACAAAAATCAAATTGCAAACAAAGCAAAACACTAAAATAAATTTCTCTACCAGAACAACATCAGAATTAACCATGCCTCGCTTGAAATTCCTTCATGAAAGCAACCAACTTCTCAACTCCAGCCAAAGGCATAGCATTGTATATCGAAGCTCTCATTCCTCCCACCGATCTATGCCCTTTCAGCTGCACCATCTTCTCCTTCGCAGCCTCCTTGATAAACTCAGCCTCCAATTCAGATTTCTCCAAAGTAAATGGAACATTCATCAAAGACCTCACGGATTTCTCAACTGGGCATCGATAAAACCCATTGCTCTGATCAATGGTGTCGTAAAGAATCTGAGCTTTCTTCATGTTCTTCTTCTCAACTTCCACCAATCCACCCTGAGCCAAGAGATCTTCAAACACCAATCCACACATGTAAATCCCATAACAAGGAGGGGTATTGTAGAGCGAATTGTTCTCAGCATGGATCTTGTAATCCAGCATCACTGGAGTAATTTCCTGAGCATTCCCAATCAAATCTTTCCTGATAATCACAATTGTAACCCCAGATGGACCAACGTTTTTCTGGGCACCCGCGTAGATCAATCCGAATTTGGAAACATCCACCGGCTTTGAGCAGAAATTGGAAGACATGTCGGCAATCAAAAGACTCTCTTTGTTATTGGGAATAGGGTAGTTTTTGAATTCAACACCGTGAATGGTTTCATTGGCGCAAATATGCAAATACTTGGCGTGTGGGTTTTGTTGAAGATCATCAAAAGATGGAATCTTCGTGTATTTGTCAGATTTGCCGGACCAAATCACACTGGGTTTGCAGTACTTTGTGGCTTCCTTGAAAGCCTTGTCTCCCCAAGACCCAGTGACAATGAAATCAACAGGGTCGTCGGGTGTGCAGAGATTGAGAGGAATGGCGGCGAATTGGGTGGTGGCGCCGCCTTGCAAGAACAAGACGGCGTAATCGGAGGGGATTTGGAGGAGGGTTCGCAGATCTGACTCTGCTTTTTGGATAATGGAGAGAAATTCTTTACCTCTGTGGCTCATCTCCATGACGCTCATGCCGGAGCCACGCCAGTTGTAGACCTCGGATTCGGCCTTCTTGAGGACGATCTCAGGGAGGGTGGCGGGGCCGGCGGCGAAGTTGAAGACGCGATCTTGGGATTGGGAGGCGGCGGAGGGGCGATCCCGGATTTGGGATGCGGTGGAGCAGGTGACTGAGATGGGTTTGTTGGGGCGGTTCAGTGGGAAGGCATTCAGGTGGGTTGTGGTGGTTATGTAGTTGTTGAATAGGTTGAGATTAGGGTTTTTGAGGAGGAGGGAATGAGAGGAAGCTCCTGACATTGCCATGGTGTTTTTGGGGGTAGGAAGAGGGCGCTCTCTCTCTCTCTCTCTAACTTTCTCTCTCTAGAAATATTCAAAGAGTTACTTTAGGTGAAGGGATCTCAGCAAGTTTTGAGACGATGAGCTTTGGAGATATGTAGGTGGATCTTTACTTGGGAAATACTTAGGTGTTTTAAAATTTTACTTTGTCACCTGATTTGTGACAATTACGTAAGAGAAAATTGTGTAGGTGAAGAACTATTCGCCTTGTTTCGCTTCATTTTGAGAGTAAATTTAGAAAAAATATATATATATATATATATTTAGTTTAGTGGTTCTGAAAAAAAAATTCAAAATTATTTTCTCTTTTTTACATATCAATCAATTATTTTTTCTCTCTCCTCTCTCATTCACTTTTTTTTTTGACACACATCTACTCAACTACAATAAAATGTCAAACAAAAATGCTTCAGAGCTCTAGCACGGGCACTAATGACGTGGCACGTTAGTGGCAACACGTTCTCTAACTCACATTTCTGTCTTTCTCATTCTTGATTTCAAATTTCAATTTATTTTCAAAATCATCTCTCTCTATATTCAAAACCTTCTCTTCTCTTTCTCTCTATTTGCTGTCTTCGACCTCTTACTGCCCGACGGAGAGTAGCTCTACTCGAACCCCATTGACGATTGACTCTGTCTACAAGCCTCTCTGTCTCCCTCGATCCTCCCGACGATCAACTTCTTGTCAGTCCCGCCGGATTAAGGAGGACTCTCTGTCTTCTCTCGACTCTCTGTCCAACCGCTGATCAAGTCTGTATCTTCTGTTGTCGACCGAGTCTCCGTTCCAAAGAGCGGCCCAAACCATCGAACGATGTTTATTCAACAGTGTTTATTCATATACCATTGTTCGTAGGTTTGAAACATCTTCAGATCTAGATTTTCTTCAGAGGAAAACAAAAATGAGTAGAAGATTATTGCTAGTATTTTGATTTGAAAAGTCAATAATCTGCTATCCCCAACGACGCATCAGGTTCTGCTGGAGTTGGCTAGGAACAAGAACAAAATCCCATTGCCAAAATCAATAGCAGGGCCAGGAATTCCTACCGCCTGAGCAGGACACGTTGATCAGCCCAAACTACCAACTTGCAATCCCAAGGAAGCCAACTGGGTCGACAGCTGTGGAAGAAACAGTGGATTTGAACTATTGCTTGTTATAGTGAATTCAAAGAAAGTCTCTGTTTGTTAGTGTTCCAAGTTTTTTATTGTATCAAGGAAGCATTGGTTTAGAATGGAATAAAAAGTTGTTACAATTGACTGGTGCGAAAGGCAATGAATGTTGATATAAATATGATGTGTTTTTAAGAAGATAAGAATTCTGCAGCATAAGAACTTTGGTGTGAGGTTACCAGTTTGAACCCCATTAATCACATTATGATGGTGAAAGTATATTAATGATTTATGGTTGTGTTTAGTTCATAAGAGCAAGGGTAGTGAAATGATCATTCACAATAGAATGTTTTTTCAGATAATAATTCACAGTAGAATATTGATTTTGTTTGTTTTATTATAAAAATGATGAAAAAAGCATTAATATCATAAATGAATAATTATTCTTCAAGGAGATGAAAAATGACGACTTCATTTCATTCCATTCTTATCGGTAAATCATCTTTCACCTTATAAAGTATGAATCATTTTGCATTTTGTTCCTTAAAGAAATATTCTGACTTTGATAACAATAAAATTAAACATTTTGCTCTTTGTGGAAAAACAAAACAAAGCAGCTAATATAGCAATAAAATTAAACATTTTTCTTTTTGTTGAATCCAGTGAGTCATTGTTCTTCAACCCAGAACCAGAAAGCTTTGCCAATACTTATCATTTATACATACATGTACAACCAGTTGTCACTACAACCACAGGAAAAAAAACAAGCAATGTCCTCAACTTTTCCAGCCAACCATGTCGCTAGCAGCCTGTCCTGAGGCTGACACAGTAAGGACGAAGATCTGAGAGGAAAAAGGCGCCAGACGGTGGACAATGGAGAAGACGTCGGACGGTGGAGGAGAGGAACGAGGGAGGATAGATCTGCAAATGCTTTCAGAGCGAGAGAGGGAAGATCGAGAGAGAGAAGAAGATAGAGACGAAGAGGGAGACAGTGAACGCCGGACAGTGGAGGGACCAGACACCGGACGGTGGAGGAGAGGGACGGAAGAGGAGAGCTCTACAACTCGTAGATCTGGAAAGACCTTGAAATATCCCTGTAACTCTGTTTTACCTTTGTTTTACATTTGAGCGGAATTTTAATTTTTAATTTTTTTACACAGTGCGTGAAGCACACGCACTATACGTGCAAATGTGCTTCATCTTCCTTGTTGGGTGCCACCTGTTTAAAGCTACGTTTAGAGCAGGTAAATTAGAGGTATGAATCGGGACTGAATATCAAATCATCTTAAACTCCCATACTCCAAAACTATTCATAAAATATATAACTAAACAAACTAAAAAAATTTCTAAACTCTTTCCTCAATTTTTTTAAAAAAATTTATCTCTCAAAACTAAACCAAACACACCCATTGTTTCCTACGAGAAAAATGCTTGGGACCCTATTTTTTTTGAGATTCTCATACCTTCTTTGGATCTCAGATATTGATGTATGTGTGGGGATCTACTCATGTATATGTGAGATCCATACCATCAATGATTGAGATCCAAAGGGAGTTGTGAGGATCTTCAAAAAAGAGAGTCTCAATCATTGTTGTTCCTAAAATAAGGAATGCACTTTTTGGCTTTGTTTACCAACGTGAGTGGCCAGATTAGATTGATATAGTTGTAGGTCTCACCTATAGTTTATTTGGTATTGATTTGGGAGGGGGATTGCTAGTGTGAAGGGTTTAGTAATCCCCTTGATAAGGGGATTAGCTTAGCTAAATTTTGGGTGAGATTAAGAAAATAATGAGCGGATTGAGCCTATTTTATATAAAAATTTTATTTTTTTAATTTTATTTGTTTTACCAAGTGCACCTGTTTGTTTTAATATCTATTTTAGTTTTTTTTTTAATATAGAAATAATTAATTAATTTATTTTATATAAAAATAATTTAACAATCCCATTACTAATCATCTCTTACACTATTATCAAAACAAACATATTTTTACTTAATCCCCTCACTAACAATTTTCACATTAACAATCTCTTCACTAACTATCCTCTCACTACCAATCTCATTTAACCTAATCCACCAAACAAACGTGGCCTTTAAATTTGAAAAAAAGAGAGTAAAAAGTGTTTGGAAAATTTACTTATAAATCTCATTTTAAAGAATAATGATTCGTTTAATCTTAAGAATTTTCATATAGACTAATTAGTCCCATTAATGTTGGAAATGTAGATTTAATATAGGAAAATTATATTAAACCTCCTCAAACTATCGATCATTTACACTTTACCCTCCTAACGTTTTAAACCTAACAATTACCCCCTCAAACTATTTGTATTTGAACATTAAATTGTTTTATTAGTTATTTGTTAGATATCTGGATAAAAAACTATCAAGTGTTGTGCACATGATGATTATATTAAATTTTCACAAAACATAAAATAGGGTAATTTGGTCAAAAAATTTAATATAATCATGATGTACACAACAGTTGATAATTTTTCATCCAAATATTTAACAAATGACTAACAGAAGGACTTAATGTTCAAATTTAAATAGTTTGAGAGTGGTAATTGTTGGGTTTAAAACATTAGGAGGTAAAGTGTAAATAGCCGATAGTTTGAGGGGGTTTAATATAATTTGACCTTTGATATATTATTTGAAAATTGAATTTATCGATTATGTTTCCTCCTCTTCTTTTTTTTTTTTTTTTTTTTTTTTCTAGAAAGGTAAAATACACAATCTATGATAATCAAATTTGGAATAAATTTTTATATGGGAATATTTTTTTATTTGGAATAACTTAAAATGTGAGATTTTTCAAATATTTTAAAAAGAGTACAAAAATGACTTGAAATATGATATTTTTCAAACATTTCAAAAAGAGTACCAAAACTCCTTAATAAGCATTGAGCAAATATATAATTTCAAACTATAGCACTCCAATGCAACACTCCAACATAACACTAAAAAAAAAACTCCTTAGTGTATTTTTTCCCAAACATAACACACTCAAAAAAAAGTTTTTAGTGTAACACACAAAAGAACTTGTCACGCCCCCAACAAGTACACTACACTTAGACAAATCACAAGGCTCCAAATCGAGGCACGGATCTCACTTGCTAAAGCAAAACAAGTCACAACATACACATGCAAGCTTAACAAGTCATAATCATACAAATGCTCATGAACATGATTAAGATAAAAATGTGGGTTCTTACAGAACTTCTTACTGTATTTTTTTAAATGTAAACTCAAAAAAATAATGCGAGATTCTTCAAATCATTCCAAAATGAGTACAAAAATTTCTTATTAAGTTTTAGGCAAATGTATAATTTCAAGTTGTGAGTGTTATGTTTGGGAAAAGTGCATTATAGAGTTTTTTTTAGTGTTTTTGTATGTGTTGCATTGAAGTGTTGCATTTGGGATTACATTGATTGGAGCGTTACGTTTGAAAAAAGTGCACTAATGAGTTTTTTTGTGTATTACATTAGAGTGTTACGTTTGGGATTATATTGATTGGAGTATTAAGTTTAGGAAAAATACACTAATGAGTTTTTTTTTGTGTATTACATTGGAGTGTAATGTTCTTATTCGTAATGTGGGATTTGTTCTAAAATGAAGGAAAATTTCAAAGTCTCTATAATGCGGATTGCCCAAATGTGTAATTTTATATTTGCAGAAACTCAATTTTATCCCTAAAAATTAAACCCAAACGTATAAGTGACTACCTGTATGAGCACGAAATAATCTTCTCGTATAATCTTGTTGATCAAGTTTGCGCTCCTCCAAACGTCGTCGCTTTACTCCCTGAAAACACAAACGTGAGCTAGCTAGCAGGTGAGTGCCAGATACCTCTCTGATGCCAAAGTCAGCAAAATAGACAAATAGACAAAAGCTTTGTGTATTCGAGAATCAAAGTTGTGATACCTGAACGTAGGTCCTGTCATGAACTTTTATAGATTCTGTGTGGCACAAATCCTAGTAGGATTCCAAC